AGGGTACTCAGCGCGGACAGTTCATCCATCCAGAGTGTGTGGTCGTAGATAACAAAGGGTTCATCTTTGTTGGAGACAGTGGAAACGTGCGAGCTCAAATCTGTCGACCAGATGGACGATTTATCCGCTCGTTTGGCAGTAAAGGTTCTCACAGCGGACAGTTCATCCATCCAGAGTTTGTGGCCGTAGATAACAAAGGGTTCATCTTTGTTGGAGACAGTGGAAACGGGCGAGTTCAAATCTGTCGACCAGATGGACGATTTATCCGCTCGTTTGGCAGTAAAGGTTCTTACAGCGGACAGTTCAGTTGGATATCCGGAATAGCAATCACAGATAATCATGACATTATAGTCACCGACCTCAAGTATTTTAGTGCAGACAGGGGATCAATATATAATTGTTATTAACCTAGAACTTTCAAACAGGTCTTTCATATAATTAAACTCAGGCAGGTTTTGAAATGTTAAATCATGTATTAAGAAGAAGAAGCGTTAGATCGTGGATGTCAACATGGCTTCAACTCTTATCGTAATGACATAACTTTAATTCTTTTGAACATTTATCAACTTATATACAAGAGTTTTCATCTTCATTTGTTTAAGTCGCTGTTGCTGTATAAGATAGAGAACCTGAATGTTTTTATCGTCACTGATAACATTGTATTAAATTAAACACTATTAAAACACAAGTCATAACTTGATCGTTTGTTCGAAACTCTTAGAAACTGTCAACAAACGATTTCTGTGACGTTTGAGGCCCTAAAAAACTGTAAACAAACGATTTCTGTAATGTTTGAAGCCCTTAGAAACCGTAAAAATATGCTTTATGTAACGTTTGAAGCCCTTAAAAACTGTAAACATACGATTTCTGTAATGTATGAAGCCCTTGGAAACTGTAAAAATATGCTTTATGTAACGTTTGAAGCCCTTAAAAACTGTAAACATACGATTTCTGTAATGTATGAAGCCCTTGGAAACTGTAAAAATATGCTTTATGTAACGTTTGAAGCCCTTAAAAACTGTAAACATACGATTTCTGTAATGTATGAAGCCCTTGGAAACCGTAAACATATGCTTTATGTAACGTTTGAAGATCTTAAAAACTGTAAACATACGATTTCTGTAATGTTTGAAGCCCTTGGAAACTGTAAAAATATGCTTTATGTAACGTTTGAAGCCCTTAAAAACTGTAAACATACGATTTCTGTAATGTATGAAGCCCTTGGAAACCGTAAACATATGCTTTATGTAACGTTTGAAGATCTTAAAAACTGTAAACATACGATTTCTGTAATGTTTGAAGCCCTTGGAAACCGTAAACATATGCTTTATGTAATGTTTGAAGCCATTAGAAACTGTAAACATACGCTTTATGTTATGTTTGAAGCCCTTGGAAACCGTAAACATATGCTTTATATAATATTTAAAGCCATTAGAAACTGTAAACATACGCTTTATGTTATGTTTGAAGCCCTTAGAAAGTGTAAACATGAATGGTAGAAACAAGTCAGTAATTTGAAGATTAACAATGAACTACAAAGTTTCTTAGCTTAACGATTATTACCCTATCTTCTTTATATTCGTTATCTTCTCGGGTTAACTAGAACCGCCTTATCTTCCAGTTTAAAAGCAACGAAACCTTTTAGTGATATTCACTGCACCAAGGAAACGTTATAGTACGTTAATTTAATGTCTTTAATTCTTTTGAATAAAATACAAATTAATTTACAAAAAAATCTTGTTGGCTGAAAAACCAATAATGTACGTAGAATAACTAGTGATTTCAGTCCATAGTTATTTTTGTTGCAAATAAACATGCCTGAACATTAAACACACTATTTAGAGGAACACCGACGTATGTTTATAAGAGATGGCGCTACAATCAACATAATCTGAATTGTAACAATAAATTATTTACATTCTGTGACACAAACACCTACCGCCATCTATTGGAAACAAACAAGTATGGATACGGCTTCAGTCCTTTTGTACTTGAACGTTTTTACTGACCTGCAACCTTGTCCACTTCACAGTTCTGGACCTTTACTATGATAAACATGTGAATATATTGAATACACTATTCATCAGTTCTCATAACGACCGAAATGGATCCCAAAAGTACAACAATTACAGGATTTAAACTCAGGTGTAATGGCGCTGTTGGATTGTACGGTATTGTAATTAAACGATCAACTGCTCGTTTTTATGTATGTATGTTTTGAATTTCGCGCAAAGCTACCCGAGGGCTATCTTCGCTAGCCGTCCCTAATTTAGCAGGGTAAGACTAGACGGAAGGCAGCTAGTCATCACCACCCACCGCTGCCAACTCTTCTACCAACGAATAGTGGGATTGACCGTCACATTATAACGCCCCCACGGCTGAAAGGGCGAGCATGTTTGGTGGGACGGGGATTCGAACTCGCGACCCTCAGATTGCGAGTCGAGCGCCCTAACTACCAGGTCATGCCGGGCCCTGCTGCTCGTTAGTTAGAATTTTTATAATTCTTCCAATAACAAAAACTTCTGTTTGAACGAAGAAAAACATAGCTAGCTGTTTGTTGTAAATCCTCAAAATATTGTTTCTAATTACAAGGATGTAAATTTTAAAAAAATGTACCGTATTTCAGCCTTTAATCTGTTGGAAACCGTATAAATAGGATTAAATATAAAACTCATGAAACATTATTTTTCATTAAATCCTGTTTTATGATACTACCCAGCTGTATTCATGTTAGTCATCATGATTGAGTGCTATCATGTTGTCTCGTGTCGTAATAAACTAACTTTGTACGTATTAGAGCTGTTTGATGTTACGCACACACCTACGCTATGAGCTATCGGTGCTGTGCCTACCCCGGGTATCGAAACCTGGTTTTGGCGTTGTTAGCCTTCAGACGTACCACGGAGGCTCTTGGAGGGGGGGAGCTGTTCTGAAACCAAGAGGGGTTATTATTTGAAGTGAATTATTCATTTAATTGAAACAGTAAACATACTTTGCTACCTATATAAATATACGTCAATATATGTGTGTGTGTGTGTGTATGTGTATATATATACATCTGTTCCTTATACGATTCCACACTTCCTGATCAATCAGCACCAAATATGGCGTAACAAGTTTTCAATATAGTGGTAGGCCTTTATTGCATGTTGTAGTAACTTTTAGAAAAAAATATCTTAGACTGAAATAGGGTCGAAAAAATATTTTTTAATTAAGCTTTTCGGGGGGGGGGGGTTATATTTCATATCTTGAAGTGTTTCAACAGGGATGATGCATATTCTGACATTTTACCATTTTACTTGATTGTAAAATTATTTAAAGAATGTGTTTCAGCACACTAGTTTATATGAAACAGTAAAAATGGCGCCAAATCCTATTGTTGTGTAGCAGTTTCGACAAACATGTTCCATTTTAAAAATTCGTGCGGTTATTGTTTTTACAAGTTTGTAAATGTTCAGTTTTTGTTAACACGCGTGACTGAAATAAAACGTTTGTCAGTTTGATGGGAACGTTCTAAATATATGGCAGTTGGTCATTTTAACCTCTTAGAAGGTTTTAAAATTGTGGGAAAAGGTTCAAGTTTCTGTAAAACTTTAAACAAAAATCACGACAAAATTCCATTTTCACTGTATTCGCTTTTTTATTATCCATTTGTCTACAGTTACAATTGATACAACCGAAGTCAAAATTCTTTCCAGTTTATTGCATAGCTTATCACAACCTTTCTCAAGACAGTTGGTTTTTAAATCTTCGGATGATAAATAACAAAATAGACGTATATTTGGATACACAAAGTGAAAACATGAACGTCTAAAAGTCGCGTTCCATTAAATATACATCAAAATGTAATTAGAATAAATAACATAAGTATGAAGTGACGCGAATGGAAGTATTGGTCAAATGCTGGTGTGATAAAATTATTCGACCCCTTCCCTCTCTACTATGAAACAAACAAAGAAAAAACAGTATCTATCACACCTGGTTTACAGTTAGAATTTGACCAGACTTACAATTTGGGTTAGCAAGCCTGAACAAAGACACAAATTCACCAAATTAGCAGTTTGAAAATACACTTTTTGGGAATTGAAATATTTTCATGAAACACAGACTAATGAAAGACCTGCTTGATCACATCTAGTCCGTGTTTACTGACCAGAATAAATCCATTACTTATAAGGTTCTGGAGTTCTGCTCTATTAAACCAATTCCTCATTACTGTTAAGCCAAGTTGTGACATGATGATAGATATAACAAGCTCTGACTTGTCCACTGGAATATTTTCATCAGTATCCTATGTTAAAATGTTTTTACATCTCCAGCTCATCTCATCTTATCTAAGTCACTATGCCATACATTATCTCTAGATTAATAGTGGAGATTTACCCCCCGGTCATGGTTGGAAGACTAGGGTGTACAAAAAAAAAGATAATTGTTGTTGGGTAAAAATTGATTTGGACTAACCTATTGTAGTTTGGGAAATTTGTTATAAACCTGTTAATATAATAAGAGTCTGACCTCAAATAATTTGTAAGGCACGTAACTCTCAAAAGCGACCTGGTTACTTATTACAGCAATATTATAAGAAATTATAAAAGTAAAGTTCGTGTTTTAGAACCAAATGACCATAAAATAACCCCTCTTCTTTCCCAAATTGTTTTTTTTTCTTGTATAAAATTTGCATTATTTTAAGTGTTTTTAAGTATTGTTCTCGGTCAAACTGGGTATCAGCACTGCTAATAAACATACCAGCCTTGTTCATAGTCAGCCGGTCATGGTTGGAAAACAAGCTTACTCTTTCAGCACTGCTAATAAACATACCAGCCTTGTTCATAGTAAAGAGTAAGCTTGTTTTGAGGGATACTGTTATTCTATAAAATACTGTTCACAGTGTGGTTGATAGTAACCATGACCACTATGAACAAGGCTGGTATGTTTATTAGCAGTGGCTGAAAGAGTAAGCTTGTTTTGCTGATAACGAAGGAGGGATACTGTTATTCTATAAAATACTGTCCACAGTGTGGTTGATAGTAACCATGACCACTATGAACAAAGCTGGTATGTTTATTAGCAGTGACTGAAAGAGTAAGCTTGTTTTGCTGATAACGAAGGAGGGATACTGTTATTCTATAAAATACTGTTCACAGTGTGGTTGATAGTAACGATTATCTCACTGTGGAATGGAAATATCAAATGGAACTCTGGCAAATCAAAAACCAACAACTTCCATCAATAATTCTAGCTTTATTTGCTAAACATATTTATAACACTATTTCAAAATATATTGTAAAAAGTATTAATTGGGGGGTGGGGGATAATCCCTAAAAAATATTTATATTAAGTCAGTGTTAATAAAATCAGGAAGTAAGAATTTTAAAAATGTCTGTCTTTCAAGTTACATTAATGAGGCAAGTTCAACTATGGAAGGACTTTTCTTACATCTAATGAACTAACCATAAAGAACAAAACTCTAATAAAGAAATGTGCTAACTTTAAGACGTTTCAGTTCAAATCGGGACATTTCTTTGTGTGAATATTATAACTGGTCACACAACTAGAACTGCAGCCAATACTGAAATTGACTGTCTTTTTCCCAGCTGTTCATAAGCCAAAAATCTCACAAAATTCATTTAGATATACGTTGAACATTAACTCCATCATACTGTCCAGAAGTAATGTAGTATCCAACTCATCAAGGTATGCTTTAAAATGAGCACAATACAAAGAAATGAGATCTGAAATAATCTGAACTGTACAAACACAAACTAATGAACTATTCTGAACAAGTAAGTGGTCATTGTGGAGTGTCTCTTAGTTTAGGCTGATGTACCAAGAAATGAGTTAGTTTGGTCGGTAAACAACCCAAATTCAATTGATAAAACTCAATTAACTGAAGCAAGTCATAGAACTTGGTTCTCCCACCATCCAGAGAGAAACAAACTTGTGTCTTTTCTTCTACCTGGAAGATAAGAAATAATTATATCTTTAAGTAAATAACATTATCATTCGAGTTGATAGCTTAGGTCGTTAAGTTATCGAAACCAAATATTACAAACTTTAACAAATCATTCGAGCTGATAGCTTAGGTCGTTAAGTTACCGAAACCAAATATTACAAACTTTAACAAATCATTCGAGCTGATAGCTTAGGCCGTTAAGTTATCGAAACCAAATATTACAAACTTTAACAAATCATTCGAGCTGATAGCTTAGGCCGTTAAGTTATCGAAAACCAAATATTACAAACTTTAACAAATCATTCCAAATGAAAACTACCAGTTGGTAATTTAAGTCTGTTTTCTTTCAACCAAATATTACATGCTCTACAACACTGGCCGGACTTTTATCTCCTTTCTTATGATGAAGTTCTTACACTCTATTGTTACAAACTGATTGTTATTAACCTGTTTACAGCCCATAAAGATAAATACCACACTAACAGTCTAAACAACCCAACTGTTATCCTTCATATTCAATTTTTTCAAAACCCAGCTTCACTAAAAGATAGCCTGAAAAGCACTTTGTACTGTAGTAACCTACACTTGGCATTTCTAAAATATTGTCATCATTAAACTAATTTCAACTACAATTAACTCCACAAAAGTAATACCGTCAATCTTCATAATGTTTTTCTCCTCACGAATATGAAAATATATTGAACAACAAAAAATATTTAGAAGGTGGGGCAATCTTGTTTCACAAGGTTCAGTTTATACTTACAGGCACAATTTGAGTGTGATAAATTTTCTGGTTATACACGTATGAAAGTACGAATGTCCCAGGATTCCTTCTGCTTTCTCGTACCAAGAACACCCTAAGGTAATGAAATACAAACAAGCCATAAATTTGCCTTGATAAATTTAAAGAGAATAAACTTGTACAAAAAAAACATTAAATTTTTTTTTCTTAGAATTCTGAAAAACCGTTTTTAACACCAGAGGAAGTTTTTAGTAGATAATATGAAAATGTAACTGTTCATTTTGACCATTACCCGAACTTTAAAGCTGGTAATACTTTGAGTATGTGGTGTAATACAATTCTAATCCATTTCAAAATATACCACTTACCCATCCACAGTTCCGTACTTTGTCAGAAGCTGAGATGCATCCTCTCTCGACATACCCCTGTAGAACCAAGGTTGTACGGTGTGGATACCGAACTCGAAGCTGCCTTGAAAGTTGGACTGCACACCACGACAAACAGGTAGTCTCCTCTGGATTAAATTTAGTTACCACGCTTTACTTTTGCCTTAAAAAACTTATTAGTTCTGAGAATAATTTTATATCAAGACAAACAGTTTTGGTGATGTTTTTATATACAAATATTTTGGTGCATAATTTCTACTAGTATTAATGATTAGAGATCTCTCAATAATCTACACCTTCTTAAGGTGCCTCTTACAGATCTATATAAAATCTTAATGCTTATAAAACAAACAGAAATTTTCTTTTTTAAGGACGTACTAGTAATTAAACATTCTTTGTGTGTGTTTGTGAAGATTTATTATCTCAAGTTTCACAACCATTTTTCTTTTAAACAACGTGAGAACTCTTGAGTACTTTTCAAAGTTATTAATATTATTCCTACAATAACATGTAAAATAACACTTCTGCAGCCACTGTTTTTTAGCCATCAAATTAACTTTCTTCTCGTCACTTCCGTCTAGGATGACTAGCCTACCTGCCGAGTTGTGGACCTCATAGTGATTATAACTTCCTACAGAAACAATATACTAACCCTCCAGTCTCGCCCTTCAGCTGCTGCTATAGCTTTGGCTTCTCGAGGATTTTCCACCACCCTGCCAGACTTTCCAGTGAAGTCCATTGCTACCCTATTTTTCATTGTCGTAGTGTCCTGGAAAAAAGAAAAGAAAAAAGTGGTTCAAAGCTGAATGTGTAGACATCTACGTAAAAACATATATTATTACTATTGTAGGTCTACCCTCTTCACCATCATTCAAGACAATTTTATAGTTAAGTTTAAATAATTTAAAGATTCACACTTTTATCCCACGGAAACAAACATTTAAATTTTTTAACCCTAAAAATGGAGTCCATCAAAGAGAAATTGATGGGGGCAAGTACTACCAACCCCCACCCCGTAGTCTACCCTAACCTCACATTTCGTAGTTAACTGAAATAAATAAATTTTGCAAAATCAATCTTGACCAACAAAGAGGTGGAAAAGTGCAGTCGAGGCAGTCAAACGTCGTTAAATTTCTTTGTGAGCCAATCAAAATTACGATAATTCGTGAAATTAATTTGTGGCGTATTCATAGAATAGTTATTGGTAAAAATCAGTTCGATTAACAACTTCTAACATATAAAAAAGCCAGTGCATTTTGGTAACACTATGTTCTAACAATGGCTTTTATGTCATGTTGCTTAGCAACAAAAGTATAACCTGATATTGTTGTTAGTCTATGTAGTAAAAGTATAAATTTGTTGATTTCTTTATTTACTTTCTTTTTATTAAAGAGTTTGGATTATAACATTGTTTTACAAACTTCAATGGGAACCCCCCATCATTACTGCCATGTTTACACATAGTTACTTTGAGATAATTTCCCAATGTAAACGGACTAGCTTACACTAAAAATGGATATTCTAAACAATTAATTATTCTGCAAAAGATAAAATTTTGGTAGATTATTAACACATATGGGGGGGGAGGGAGCTCATTTTCAAGACTAAAT